TTTCACGAAAGCTGAGTACAAAGTAAAAAAGTATGAGAAAACAAGTAAATCGTTTAAAAGAGAAAATCTGACACGGTTCATTCAAACGATCTTTCGAAAATTCGATGAAAGTTGTTCAGTGAAATTGGTTAACAGTTTTTGAGACAAAGTTTATATATTCAGTATATATGTACACGCACAGAATCACGAGTTGTTACCTGAAATGATATAACTTAATTATATATCTCTATTTCATTAGTTTGTATGTTTAAGAAGCAAGGTGCATAGATGTGTGGAAGGTTAATCACATTTTATAAGAATGATTTGATCTGTCGCCACGGATGCGAATTCCCGAATATCCAACGTTGCCACAAACACACTTACGGTTGGACTCGGAGAATTTGTAACAAGCCCTTTTAGACTAAGAATATTGGTATAGCGAAGAAACTCAAACCCAAAAATACACTGACTTCAAAAACAACTATCTAAAACCAGGAAAGGAAATGGGGTTTAGGAACTAGGTACACGCTTAGAAGGAGCAGTGGGGGTGATAGGTATAAAAAAGCAAATAGAAAAGATATGAGGTTCTTATTTTATATTCTAGCTTGTTAATATCGGTAATTTGAATTCCTAATTCGTAAGATACTATAGACTTTGTATTTGGACATCACAAACATCTAATTTGAACCAATGCTTCATTCAACATACATTAAGAAATTAACTAATGTATAATATTAAAATTTGAATTATAGTCTACAATTTCATACCAAACTTATTGACAAATTCATAAAATAGTAGTTCAATAAAATTTTGAATGTGAATCAACAAACGCGATGACATGGCCTTTGACCCGTGACGATAGAGTTAACAAACATCTTCAGTGGTACTAAACTTAACCCATGGGGAAAAAATGCAAACTGATAACTAGGTACCCGCGTGTACCCCAATTTCCATCACTGTCTAAAACATAATGAAGGTGGAGATCAACATCCTAATATGACAATGTAGTTGCTGTTGTTGTTGTTTATTATTAAGCACAAAGCTACACAAAGGGCTATCTGTGCTCTGCCCACCACGGGTATCGAAAGCCGGTTTCTAGCAGTGCAAGTCCGCAGACCACAAGATTGGTCATTCAGATATCCCTCACATAAAAGGATTATTAACAAGTTGCATATATCCCAATAAACTGTGCAAAAGATAATTCACAAAGATTTTATAAAGATAATAAATACGAGTGCACAAGCTGCTCACCAAACATTCTGACGAAAGAAAAACCTAAAAACAGAATTACGAAAAATACATTGCGTATGAGATATGAACATTTATTACAACACTGGATAAGGCCCGAGTACTTGAACGGCGGTGACAAGAAATGGAAGTTTTACTAAAAACCATAAATGGCAAGAACTACCTAAAATAATACAGAGCAATTACAGAGTTTTCGTGTGATTCAGTGGTTGTTTTAGGTTTCTCATATAATGAAAAATTAAAATTCTATAAAGTGACACTAAATAACTGTTTCACCAGATTCCAGACAAAAAATATAGGGAAATTATCTAAAAAATAGGGCAGATGAGGGGAATATTATTTAGAAAAAACAAAATGAGAAAAACTTACCTGTATAAAGACGGCCTTGTAACTGATGATATTTGGATGCTTTATTTAGGAGGTTTTCAAATGGAAGATCTTATTTTTCATTTCATGGCTACAGAGTGAAGTCAAAACTTTAATAGACAGGTATATATTTGGATATGGCATATTTCTGAAAAGTCTTTGAATAAGGATAAAACCTTCACATCCATCTTCATCCAGGGCATCAATGATCACACTCCAAACACTTTTATTGTCCTTTGGGCCATCTTTTGATACACTTATAAAAAGCCTCTGAGGGACAGTCATTTCGTCCATTAGGAAATGCATGATTTTTTGCGAAATTTTCTTTTATTTGACACGACCTAAATGGATGGTCACAAGGCATCTCCTAGTAGCCAGTTTTTTGTGTTTCTGACCAATATCTAATAAGCACACTCAATTGTTTCACATATTCGGTTGTAATTTCATTGTACAGTATAGTATATTATCCTGCATTACTTTTCTTTAGGTCAGGTTGGGTCTTGAATCACCTGAAATGACATATGACACCTTTGTTGACCCCATTCCAAATTTGTTGGCAATGGGGCACCTGAAAGTACTAGAGAAAAGCTAGAACAACAGCATCACATGAAACAAATGAAAAATCTCTGTGTGCAACATTCATGACCCACAGGTTTTTTTGCTTCTGTAACTTCATTGCTAGGTTTGCTTGGAGATGAATACTTTGGCTAGAGAGTCGTGGGTCTGGGATGCAGAAGCCGAGAAAGTAGTTTATGTGGTGTATTCTGGATGCGACATTCTTCTTTGCTGTTGTTTACACTGCTTCTCATGGTTGGTTTGAGACTTGATAAAAGAATCCTAGCCTTTTCTACATGTGTGGGCACTCAGGGGTGCTGTTTCAACTGGAAGAGTCCAGAGTTTGCAACTGAAAATATTTTATAGCAAAGTATGTAAAAGACGTCTGAGCTGTTTCGCTTTTGACACCACAGATCAATATGGTGTCCATTAATGTTCTATTTGCCCAATAAAGTCTTTAAATGTACACTTCAATTGATGTGGCATGTTAATTCACAGTATCTATCTAAAGATATACAGGTTTAAAGAATCACACATGCGTACGTATCTAACTTACATGAAAACGATGTTCATGCTATCTTCTTCACTGATATACCTCTGACATGAAATCACTCGATTGCACACTCATGAACTTTTGTGCCTTTGGCTTGTTTAAAAATGGTCTTTGGAACTGACGTCCATGTACAATAGAGTACCTGTAGAAAGACTGAAAAGATGTGTGTTCTTAGCAATCTTTAAGGTTAAAATTCTCGGTGCCAGGCAGTAGTGTATAATCATGGTCATGAAACCGAGCACAATCGACTATGGAGGAAGTAGTTCCAAGAACAGCACAAAAACTGGAACACCGTACTTATGGTGGTTAACTCTTCGTAAAAACATTTCTAAAATGCATGAAGCAAATAACTACAAAAAACTACACAATTGGGTTGTTCGAAGCTGACAGTTACATCTGTGTAAGTTAACAGTACAAAGTAATTTTATCAGTACATGAAAAGTGAAATTTCTAATGATGTTTGTATACTTACTGCTGTTCCACTGGAGGAATTAAGAAATAGTGTAAAAAAAGTTACAAATTTATATATACTTAACATTATCAGCTTTCCTGCTTTTTTTTTTTGGCGGCCTTCAAGCGACCATTTATTCGGTTACTACGTGTGCGTTCGCACGTGTTTAAATTTTAACAGTGTGTGTGCATATAAATACATTCGAGTTCATTTAATCTAATGATTTCCATAATAAATATTGTTACGTCTCTGGTCGTTTGTTAATTACCCGTAAAAATTTTTTCCTAAGAACTTCAGCGATACAAGTCCTTTCTTAAATAAAACTAGTTTATTCTTT